GCAGCTGTCAAAACGGGCCGCCTTTCGTGGCCCGGGGGTGAGGGCTCCCACCTGGCGGAGCGCGGGCCGGGCCCGGGATCCGTAAGCCAGCAGCCGGGGCTCAAACTTGTGCCCCCCGAGCCCGCCCCGCGGTGCTGCGCTCTCCCTTGGCGACGCTCGGTCACGTTGACTCGGCAGCCCAGCACTGAATTTAAAAAGGGGACGTTTAAGGCAGGCCCAGGGCTGGTGTCCCTGCGGGGCAGCGGCTCCGGGGGGCATTGCCGGGAGGGGAAAGTAAAACAGCAGTGGATGCCTAGCGAAGTGTGGGGATAAAGGTTGTTGCTTCAACGTGCTGTGCAGAATGTTTTCCCATCTCCAACAATTTGGAGGGGGGGAACAAGTCTTGCAGGGACTTCTGGAGGAAGGGAAGGAGTCTATGCACTTAATATTTCCAGTGGATGTCTCTTCCATGAACATAAGCTGGTTGCCCCTTCAGACCACAGAAAGTTTTAGTGTGCACAAGGCACTTCGTAAGTTGTCAAAGGTATTTCTGCACCAGTTGTATATTTAGGAAGCAGCATGTTTTCTTTAAAACCTGCCCGTGCTAATTTAATTTTACAACCTTTTGTTCTTACACAGAAAACTATGGCCACTCACGGTGTCCATGCTACTCATTTTATGAATCTCTGTTTTAGTCATCCTTGATATCCTTTTGCATGCTGAATGGACCTCAACCATTTAGTTATTCTTCGATATTTTTTGGCAGTCCTTGTTAGTTTCTCTGACCTTTTTCAGCTATATCCTTTCTGAAATGGGAAGGATGGGGATGACACAGAGTTCAAGCGTGTGTATAGTATGAGTTTATAAAGCAGCATATTTATTATCCGTTGTATGCTCTGTTCATCTGCTAATGTTTCTTAACCTTCTGTTTGTCTATATGACCGTCCCTGAGCCTTGAGCTGATGTTAGTGAGGACACTGAAGAGGATCAAAGCTGTAACAGGTACTTGAAAGACAACAAGATTGTATCATCTCCAGGTTGGAGTTGTTCTTTGTGGGCTATTTAAGAGAAGACAGGTCTGTCACCCTGAACAGCTGGTGTGGCTCTGCCTTTCTCAAAAGAGTGCAGATGTGCCAAGGGGTGAAAGCTGCTTTTGAGGTATGCACTTCTTCAGGCTGTCCCAAATTTTTAATTTCTTTCTGTGACTTGTCTTGGGTATCTTTTTGCAGAAAAATACCCAACTGAAACCTCCCATCCAGAGCATTTACATTCATCACTTGCATTCATTTGTTCTTGTTTACAAAGATACACATATTTAATGAACTGGGCAACTACTTTACATTAAAAGCAAGCCTTAAACTTGCTGGTTTCAGTAAGATTAAGTCCAGCTGCTGTGATAAGAGCCTGCTCAGTTCCAGTTTCTCAGTCCAAATGTTTTTTCCTCTTCCTTATTGTGCTTCCTCCTTTTTTATTCCTCACAAGAACACAAATCCTACTGATCAGCAGTGAGAGGACAAAGATTTTCTGTGACAGTGAAGTAAGGCCACAATTCACTGGTTGCTGTTCAAGTAACTGACATTACTTTTGTAAGGTGTCCTGCCTTGCCAAATAGTTAGCTTGGCAGATGTGGTCTACATCTACACAGACCTAATATCCATCAGAGATAAGGGTAGTTCAGTAGATAAGTCTGAAACTTGATGATGCAATTTTCATGAGGAAACTGTGTGACTGCCAGAACTTCCCATTTGTTTGTCTAACTATAGAACTTACCTGTAAGTGCCTTTGAGCTTTTGCTCAGCTTGAAAATCATGAAGTCTTTCCCTTTTGTTTGTTTTGCAAGGACCAACAATGTCTGTGTTCTGGTTAACATGTCTGTTCTGGAATAACCAGAAATACTAGTGTGCAGTATGTTGTACCTAGTCCCACAGCCAAGAAGCCAGTAACTGTGCCAGTTAATGGCAGTGGCTAGAATATGCTGTGGGGTTTTTTTACCAGAAGTACATTTATATTGATAAAAAATACTTTGTAGCAGTTTAATTTTTAAAATAATTAAAGTAGCATTAAACTTTTTGAAGAAACAAAAAAAAAACCCAAACAAAGTCTTTTACAAAAAAGTCATACATCATCTTGTGTTCCTTAGCTGCTATTGCTTTCATTTATGACCAAATGAAATGCTAAACTATTTCTCTTGTTTCCCCACATTTTGTTTGCTTGCTTACATGCATGCTTAGGAACGCACACAGGTTTTTCTCCTTTAATCTGGGGGGTTTGGATTCTGAATTTGGCAAGGATGATATTTCAGAGGAAACAGTAGAGGTGAAAGAGATATAATTAAAAGATAAAGTGGTTTAGAACAGTTGTTCCAAGAGTCAGGAATCAAGAAGCCGAAAACCAGTGATCTGATTCATCACTTGGACACACGAGCTCTGATTACTACATTTTTTTATTAGCATAATAATTTCAGTTGCGAAAGTACTCCTCCTCCTGTTGCCAGTCTCCATAAAATACTATAGGCTAGCTATAATCTTGGGTTTAGCCTGTTTCTTCAATACAGTCAGGGTGAGAAAGACATACTTCATCTACATTATATCACCAGCATACTATTTAAAAAGTGAACACAGCTGCTGTAAAGAAGTTGCCGTTTCTCTGTGCTTGTCCAGAGATAATCATCTAATAATCTGTGTTTGTTCAGATATTTAGAAATTTGGTCTAATGTATAATTCATTACTGCAAACTTCGGTATACTTATAAAACACCTCTATTCAATGGCTTGCCTATATATATGCAGTGTGCATGATACATGCCATCAGACAAGTGTTTAAGATAAAATCAAATAGGTTCTAAGTATAATTTTAGAATCCTGAAGTTTACATTTATTAGCACTCATTTGAATATGTATAATTTTATAAATAATTGTAAATATCGTTTCTACTGAATAGAAAATGAAGTGTTCTCACCAGGTTATGGAAGAGCACAGTTGGGGAAAAATTACAAGTTTAAATATTTGAAATGCATAAAAATTTACTGTACACAACACCGGTTAGCATTTTTAGAAATAATGTAACTGCCAATTTCAACTGGTAGTCTACTTTTGTTCTTACAAAACCTGTTCTCACCCAACCTGTATTTTGGTTTTGATACATTGTTTTAATTACTAGATTCACAGGTAATTTTTATAGTGAGAGGTTTTAATGATCTAAGTAAGTTTTTAATGAAGACAGATTCTCTTCTCCTCAATTCCTGTTCCATCTTCTGGAAAATTTTGCAGACCTTGTCATTTTAGTGCATGTGACTTGAAAGTCTGCTCCTGGGGGCTGATCCAGTGATGGGGAGTCTAAAATTCTTAAAATTACTTCCTCTGAAACGCCATCAGTAATGGTAAAGGTATACAATAAGGGTAAGGTAAAAAGAAGTGGTATGGCCCAACAATGTCATGCTTTGCCAGCTCCCCTTAAGGAAAGCTAGCATAGATTACATACCCAGAATTAAATGCTATGCTTAGGCATAACCTTCTCCACATCAGTAATAATTACAATATTTGGGGACTAACTTTCACAACTGTATCCTCACAGAGGCCTAATATCTACTTTTCTTCCTCTCAGTTTTATTTAAAATTTGGCATGAATGGAAACAGGACTGGGCACACAAGCTTTTTCACATTCAGCTAGAAGGTGTAATTATTATTAGTGTTTCTCATTCATATTGCAGGTACAAATAGTACTTAAACTGTATTCAGCTCTATGTAAAGAATACAGTCTCCGCTCTGAGAATATGGGGTTGTGACAAATCCCAGCATGACTAAAAATACAAATGGGAAGTGAAAAGGTAAAAATAACAGTAAAGACAATTTTATTTGAGTGAATTGGTTGTAATAGTCTTGACAGTCATACTGAAGTAAGCACACTCTATATTTTAGCCTCAAATTACAGACACTTCACAGGTACTTGTTTTATTTCAAACTTCTCTAAGTTTTTAAAATCCTATGGAGACTAAAAAACAGTTCACTGATGAATACTTTTAAAATAAAGGAACCTTCCTTTTCATGTATAGTTTCAGATTTTCACGTCATGCAAGTATAAGCTTTTTGTGGTAAACAGCATGGAGCTGTTTTTGCATGGTAATCATGTAATCAAAACCTGCCATTTGCTATGAAGCTTTGGCTTAATAAATGAAATGCCCATTGAAAATTCTGTGGTCTTTAAATGCAAGCTATTGAAAAGAGAAGTGCATAACACTGGTATTAATAAAAACTCTTTCAATGTTTCATCAATTAATATACAAATTTGAATGATGGAGTCTTAGTGTGGCCATTAGTTAATTCAGCTAATCTGTTAGTACAAATCATTTAGCAAAATGTCCTGGGTGACCATAATGAAGTTGGGATAGGACTGATGAAAACAGATAGATAAAAGTTAGTACAGCTGAAGAGAGATAATTTGGACTGCTTAATGCAGATGAGTCAAAGGATGTAACGTAGCAGTGAATGGAAGAATTGTGAACATCAGAATGGGCCTTCTTGGTTACTTTTTTAATTTTATGGAATTTCCAGCTATATTCAAATGTAAATAAATTGCGGTTAAAGAAGAGATACAACTCATCAATTTCATATTTATTTTTAGAAATACATACTAAAAGTATAAAACTTCAGAACTAAGCATCATGATATATTTTATTTACGCTAATAATGAGTTTTAGGGTTTTAAATGGTTTAGGTCTTAAGCAAATGCCTAATTTGTAGTGTGCAAACTATTCCCTCTGCAGAGTAATTTTTAACTATGGATTTTTGCACTTCTGATCTTTCAAAATAATTTTTCTGTTAATATTGTATTATAAAGCCGTCACAACATGACATGCATTTACTTGAACTATATAAAGGGAAATGCAGAGCTGTTTC